ATCGATTGGTCTGATGTCATGAGCTAGTATTTTTTTTTTCTCTCTCTCTCTCTCTCCTTTATTTCCGTTCGCAATAACAAACACGCCTCGCCTGACGCATCTGTCGCGGTCCCGCGCGATTCGTCACGCGCATCACGGATTTGTTTCACTTCGAATTGAGTTGCGACGTGACGCTTCATTCATATGTAATTATTACACGTGTTCAAACGCCTAAATTAAATATTGACTCGATTTAATAGCAGAATTATTTACCAGAACTTACAAGCAGTTAATTATTCATAATTCAGGCAAAATAATTTATTATTTATTTATAATATTATATATGTATGTATAATTTTATATATTTTGTGCATTTTATAATCTTATATATTTTCCTACATTTACCAAATAATTTGTATGATTTTGCAAATTCCATTAGAAAGTCCACAAACCCAAATGATGGTTTGCCCCACATTTAAAATTCGCGCCACTGTGTGATGCGTTAGTGCATAGATGATTGTTTCCATTGTGATTGAAATTACAGTCAACCATTGTACTACAATCATCCTAACGATCTAATATATCATTTATACTATACATAATTTCTAATAACACCAAAACACTCTAAACCTAGCCACAGATAATTAATGGCGTCACGTTTTAAGTGAATAGCAGCCAGCTATGGGAGCCATAGCACCTGAGTGGCAATAACAGTGCTACAAAATACGAGTAAAACTGCAAATAAAACGTATATACATAATAAACCTGTACATAATGACTCCCCATATACGATCGCCCCTGCGTGGTTCAATTCAGTTAGATTGCCTTTTATTATCGACACCCATGGCTCGTTCGGCTGAGCTGTAAACTTGTTCGAAACGACCCTATATACAACGGACGTTCATCGGTGGCTTGGTTCGAAACCCAGGTATAAATTCGTGGAGGACATTAAGCGATGATCACGAATGGGAAATCGATCGTCATTCCTAAATGCACTTTGACATTACCCTGCGTTAGTCGTAATCGACCGCGATACAGTATTACCGTCTATAGTCAATGGAGCACGTTAACGTCATGTCCCCTGCTCGTTTATCACGTCTATTGCGTTTCATTACCACCGAGTGGTTTAAACTAACGTTATTTCAATTGTATAACGCAGATTGAGGAGGCGCGTTGATACGATTTTCGGATCAAGTCGTTCCTGGCTTGTTCGAGTTTCGTTGTCTATGTTTAGACCTGGTCCAGCTGACGTCGATAAACTAGCCTGGATCCGAACGCTTCCGTTATACTTGCCAGCCCTCTACTATACATTCTTCCTTATTATACGATCGGGAGGCAAGTGTCGTGAATGAAGCTACGTCTTGCGCTAGATTTAGCTTAGATTTTAGCTGTTTGGGCATCAAACTTTATTGATATCTGGAGTATTTGATTATTTGAACGTCATCTCATCCTGTTTGTATGCTAGGAAACGAATACCTTCACGAATGCAGAACAGGTTGACTAATGCTAGGCGTCCATTTTGATGGAACGCAGGTGAATCAGAAAGAAAGTAAGACTAATCACGATTTTCCATTATTCCTCTATTAATTATATGAAATTATATATTGAATAACGATTCAATAGTCTCAGATGCAAGGCAAGAAATCCCTCAGGTAGTGAGGATGACCTAGCAATGGTGGGAGTGAGAGAGAGCATGGTACCCTTGCTCAGATGTACAATATTTCTTCTTATCTGTTCGCAGATGTGGCAGTTAAGGTATTGGATATACCTGTTACTGATAGCGTTATCAGTGGCGCCGGTGCAGAGGGTCACAGCATGCTCCTGCATTAGGAACCATCCACAGGAACTGTTTTGCAATTCAGACTACGGTACACTTCTAATCGACTTGTAAATCACATTCTCCCTGACACCATGAACATATTTACGAGACAGACGATAAATATCCCCAAATTTTTCCCGTCTCGCATTCGCCTAGGCTGCTGTCTGTGGAGCGGGGAAAACCTTCAGTAGGTAAACCCAGTGGGATAAATCCTACCTAGGAAAACCCGCCCCGAGATGGTTAGTGTTTCCGGTATCCGTTCCCATTGTGTGTCTAGGTCACATTTTCGTAGGCTTAGACACCGAATTTGAACGTCCTGCACCTCCCCCGCTCACCTTGTTCAGTGGGGTACGACACCTAAGCGATCGCATGAAGTCTCGCAAGGTCACGACCGCAGGTCACCCATCCAAGTACTGACCGTGGCCGACCGCTGTTTAACTTCGACGATCGCCCAAAGTGCCGACCTGCCAGCTTCCCAAAGCGTCGGTTATGTCTCTAAATTATTATTACTTAATTTATCGAGTCTTGTTTCTGCACAGTGGCGTTGGTCAGAGTGAAGAAGGCGACGAACGTGAACGAGTATCAGATTGGCTACAGCGTGAAGATCAATAAAATCTTCAGGGTATGTACGACATTTTTATTACCGCAATTCTTAACAGACCCAAAAGATTGTACCCACACAATTGTGCAATAAAAACATGTATAACTTTGATATGTTCTGTGTCTCTAATTTTAGGTAAATAGCAGATCGTCGTATGCAGCGTTGAAGAAGAACATTCTATGGACCGCCTCGTCGGAGAGCGTCTGCGGAGTCGACTTAAAAGTCGGCGAGACCTACGTTGTCGGAGGCAACACTCACGGCGATAACGCGCACGTATCAATCTGCGGTATCACGATGCCGTGGCGTTCCGTTACCAGCAGGCAACGGAAGGGTTTCAGGCATCTGTACCGTTTCGGTTGCATGAAGTGTGGCGTAAGTGTCACAGCACGTTCCAGAAAAGTGTCGAGTGATTCTGAACAACAATTTCCTTTGGTAAAATTCAAAATTAGGCATGGTTTTTGAATTATTAATGAAAAACACTGACCAATGGGAGCACGCGTAGGGCCCGCGCTTAACCACTGTCGAGCGTCGCAAGCCCCCACTCCAGCGGCTCAACGTGGGCCCTACGCGCGCTCTCATTGGCCAGCGTTTTTCGTTAATAATTCAAAAACTATGCCTCATCTAGTATTTCGCTAAAGGAAATTGTTATTCAGAAACACATCCAGAACCACCCATTTTCTGGGACATTTTACGTTCATCACTTTTTACAAATCAAATTTGTATATGTTGTATATATTTCATGGGGTTTATTACAAATCTGTTTAGATCCATTATACACCTTGGCGGTCGAAGGGTGCCGCTTTGGAGCACACGGACGGTAAGAAGTGCCTATGGGAGAGCAGACCAGGCCCTGAGGATTGCCAGAGGGACTATGGTATATGCATGCCAGGACAAGGTGGCGTGTGTTCCTGGGTGCCATCGGTCCCATACAAAAACTGTATCAAAGAGCACAAGCAGGCCCGCGAGCAACAGAGAGCACGAGAACCATAAATCCTGCTGTTCACATGGGGTCCGACATAGGACGATTGACGTGAAGAGAGAAATGTTCGTTGGAAATTGACGCTGCTTAGAGAGAAACGAAGTGGCTTGGTTTTATTTGTTGAAGAGGACCCTGGTGGGCGTTTTCAACATCGATTTTGGCCATTTCTCTAGTTGTACATATTAGGCTGTTGATGTATATTACGCATTTTTTAAATTATTCTCATTCTCATTTGTACCTAGCTTTGCTCTTTTTTTTATATAAGAAGCTGCAGAAGCTTATTTAATTATTTAGTCGTTTACAAACCTTTAAATAATGAAATAATGTAATGATGAATTCATTGATTCAATTAGTAAGTGCTTGAAAAAAATTAATTAAACAAATTGTCATTTATTTGAAAATTCTTATAAAATCTTTTAATTAAATCAAAGATTATTAAAAAATTATGAATGATCTGAGTTTGATTTTGTTTTTTTTACTGATTATTTTATTTCATTATTTAGAGGAAGTACCGAGGGTCATGGATACCACGGTGCCATTTTCACTGGCCGTTAATGACAATTCCCGAAATTCCGCCTGTTCCACGCGGATCTCGTAATCACCGTGGAGCCTACGACCCCGGAAATATTTGCTCCAGTCGGTATTCTGGTCGTCGATTACCAACAGGGTGAAGCATCGATCTTTATTGTAAGCAGGCCCTCTGGCTGCACCCGTCACCGCTGCACCCAGGATCGATGCACCCTAATCCAAAATTAAAACGTTACATAATTAATCAATCACCTTAGGTT